TATGGGTTGTGATAAGAGTTGTATGAGCCCCTAATAAAATGATTAAAAAAAAAAAAAAAGTGACCAGAGGGCTCAAAGACAAACTCTTTGCGGTTTAGGGTTCTACTTGGACATGACACCATGCATCTCCTTGGTCCCCTGATCCTGCTCTTCGGTAAGGACTTGGCCTAGGCTGCTACTTGAATTGGGGGATGGCAGTGGGAGCTGAGGGCGGAGGAGAGGCCTGGGGCAAAGAAGAGGCAATGTGGACTAAGGGGCGGACAAGCAGCTCGCATACAGACAGGTTATGAACAGAGCCATTCCTAAGAGTGTCTTCCCATGAAATCTGTAGGCGAGGGAGAACAGATGCACATGGTTTTTATTTAGCCCCCACTCCACGGCAACACAGAGCCCTGGGGGCATAGTGGGTCCTCATTGGGGGGCTAACCTCAAAGTCAGCAGTTCAAAACTACCAGCCACCCCTCGGGAGACAGAGAGAGCTTTCTACTCCTGTAAAGAGTAGGGTCTGGAAACGCAAGCGCAAGGGTGTTTCTTCCCTGTCCTGCAGGGCTGCCACGAGTTGGAATCAACTCATGGTCGTGAGTTGGGCTTGGTTTTGGTTAGTGCAAGAAAGGAGCCCTGGTGGGGTGCTGACCACGAGGTCTGCCGTTCAAAACCACCAGCCGCTCGCAGGAGAAAGGCGAGACTTTCTGCTCTCATAAAGATTGGCCGCCTCGGAAAGCCACAGGGGCGGTTCCACCGGTCCTGGAGGGCCACTGTGGGTTAGAATTGGCTCAATGGCTTGCAGCCTTTGAAGGATTTAAAAGCTGCACACACAGCAAGAGAAGGTGGTTGTGACGAAGACTTTGCCGGGCACTGGGGTTGGCTCAGTCATGTCAACGCGAGAGCACATTTGCAAAACATGAACGGGCAAATACGAGTTGCCTTGAAGTCCCCCATTTGTGTCTTTGTCTCAGGGAGAATGTCACCAACTCTCCCTCTAGCTGTGGAAGCCATTCATTAGTCCCTTGCTACACACCCGACACCCGCCCCCCCCACCCTCCCACTCCCCTGCCCCCCCGCCTTTCGTGAACGCCTTCTGATTATTGTCATGGATTTCAGAGTACTGGTCTTTCTCTGACTCCGCGGGATGGAACTTTAACCACCCTGGCACCCTCTACACCTGGGAGGGGGCTTGTGCCTGGATCCCCTGCCTCTACACAAAGGCAGGTCCCAAAAGGCCCCTAAAAGACTTCACCCTGTATCACAATCACGATTTTGATGACGTCACCAAGAACTTTTCGGGGACCATCCTCTACCCGACCCCAGAGGTCCCTGGGCAGGTGACGCGAGTACAGTACCTGGGGGACATGTTGAACAACTGCAGCCTGAGCATCCAGCCGGCGCACACCAATGACAGCGGCCGGCTGGGGTTGAGGATGACGTCGGAAACGGACCGATGGATGGAGACCATAAACCTCAACGTCTCTGGTAAGACTCTGAAGGACCTTTGACTCAACAGGGCAAGGAGGGGGGTGGGAACTACCCCAGCTTCCTGAAGTAGGGGCAACAACTCAAATGGTATGCGGAGGCCGGGCAGGGATGCCCGCCAGTGATGTGGGCAGCGCCACACAACGGGGCTGTGGGGACCTGGGACACGAGGGCCCGCCTACCTGCAGCAGGAGGTGGCCCTCAGCTCCAGCCGAGCAGGCACACACGGAGCGAGGGTCCAGCTTCTGATTTTCCAGGCGAAAAATCAGACTGGATTTCCCAGGGACATTTTTCAGGTGCATTGCCCAATGAAATCGCCAGGCGAAGGTGAGTATGTGTGACGCATTCTTTTTCTAACGCACTCATGCAGGGGCTCGCTGCCACGTGTGGCAGAGTTTGAGACGATGCCCCGTAGGGAAGCCTGGGGTCTCTGCCCCGGTCACTCCAAATGGAAAACCAAGCTCACTGCCACTGAATCCACGTGGACTCATAGTGGCCCTGCAGGACAGGGTAGAACTGACCCCTGCCTTTCTCCCCTGGTCACTCCAGTCCAAGCAAATTTCTTGGGCAGTGGGCTCTAAACAGCCCTTTGACCAGGGGCAGAAAAACAGCTACCGATCCTGCCGCTGAGGGGTCGCCTCCGCCCTGGGGAGCGCTGTGACTGGCCACAGGGGCCGAGTCCACGAGGGATGCCTGGGCTTGCACTGAGGCGGCCGTCGAGCAACCACCGGTTTGTCACTCAAGTTAGAAATGCATGCTGAACAAAACGGACAGACTTAGGGGCCTGGGGAGGGGGGCGGGCGGGGGAGCAATCTTGAGACTATTTGGACAGAAGTACCAGGAGGGGAGCTATTTCCTAAGGAAGCTGAGCATCCGAAAGACTTCAGCCTCTTTCAGCCGAACATCGTTGACTGAAAGCAGAGAAAGGCACGACTGAATAGCCCAGGGACTCCTCAGGGGCATTATTTGGGGCAGCAGGTCTGAAGTCAAATGTATAAGACTGCAGAGAAGGTGCCCTTGTTCTCTCCCGTGCCTCCGTCAGACTCTCTGCTCTCTTCTAGAAAGGCCTCCCCCACCTCACATTCAGCTTCCTCACCACATACAAGAGTTCCAGGAAGTCACGTTGACCTGCACGCTCAATTTTGCCTGTCCGGGTTACCCCATCCAATTGCAATGGTCACTAGAGTACCAGACTGACACCTACACGTCCCTGAAGCCCGAGCTGGTCTCCACAGAGAGCAAGCTCACGTTCCAGCCTCAGTGGACGCACCACGGCAAGAACCTGACCTGCAAGGTCCATGACCCCAAGACGAAGCTGTTCTCGCAGCAAACGCTGTTGCTGGATGTGAAACGTGAGTCCCCCCACACCCAGTGCTCCCAGGGAAGGCGTGAGTCCCGGGCACCTTCTCCCCAGCTCCTCCGTTTGCCCTGAGAACAACACAGCTGTAATGTAGCAGCCTAGCTCCCTGCTCCCCTCCTCCACCCCTGGGTCAGCCCGTGTTCTGGGAAATGGATTCATTGTAGCACTTGTGTGGGCCTAATGGGATAAACCGATTCAATCTATCCCCAAGCCACAACATAATTTGGGGATTATCTAACTAAGGTGTTTCACCCCCTGGAAGAAAAGCCTCCGCATCATTCTTATTCACTCAGTCATCAACAAACTTAAACTTATTGGGGGCTCTTACAGCTCTTATCCCAATCCATCCATCCATCCATGTGTCAAGCAGATTTGTACATATGTTGCCATCATCATTTTCAAAACATTTTCTTTCTACTTGAGCCCTAGGTATCAGCTCCTCCTTTTTCCCCCTCCCTCCCTCCCTCACCCTTGATAATTTATAAATTATTGTTTTTTTCCATGTCTTACACTGATTGCTGTCTCTCTTCACCCACTTCTCTGTTGTCTGCTCCCCTGGGAGGGGGTCACATGTCTATCATTGTGATCAGTTCTCCCCTTAATCCCCCGACCTTCCCTTACCCTCCTGGAATTGCTACTCTCATTATTGGTCCTGAGGGGATTATCTGTCTTGGATTCCCTATGTTGGGAGCTCTTATCTGTACCAGTGTACATGCTCTGGTCTAGCCATATTTGTAAGGTAGAATTGGGGTCATGATAATGGGGTGGGGGAAGGAAGCATTAAAGAACTAGAGGAAGTTGTGTGTTTCATCGGTGCTATACCGCATCCTGACTGGCTCTTCTCTTCCTTGTGACCCTTCTGTCAGGGGATGCCCAGTTGTCTACAGATGGGCTTTGGGTCTCCACTCCACACTCTCCCTCATTCACAATGATATGATTTTTTTGTTCTGGGTCTGTGATGCCCGATCCCATCAACACCTCATGATCGCACAGGGTGGTGTGCTTCTTTCATGTGGGCTTTGTTGCTTCTCAGATAGATGGCCACTTGTTTATCTTCAAGCCTTTAAGATCCTAGATACTATATCTTTTGATAACTGGGCACTTTCTTCAGCACATTTGCCTATGCACCCACTTCGTCTTCAGCGATTGTGTTGGGAAGGTGAGCATCATGGGATGCCAGTTTTCAATAGAACAAAGTGTTCTTGCATTGAGGGAGTACTTAAGTGGAGGCCTGGTGTCCATCTGCTACCTTAATACTAAACCTATAAGTGTATGCACAGAGATGTATTTCCCCATCCTCATATATAAATATATTTACATATGTACATGCCTGTATTTAGACCTCTATAAATGCCCTTTGCTTCCTAGTTCTTTCCTCTATTTCCTTTTACCTTCCTCTTGTCCCACTATCATGTTCAGCCTTCATTTGGGTTTTGGTAATTTCTCTTGGCAAGATTACACTTGATCAGGTCTTCACGCCCCGACTGCCCTCCCCCTCCTAGGCACCCTATTCCCTCCTTGCCATCAATTTTAGATCACTTGTTCCCTTGTCCCTGAGTTTGTTGGCATCCCTTTCCTTTCCCCCGCCTCCCCTTCTCCTGTGTCCACCCGGAACCGTGGGTCCCGTTGTTTTCTCCTCCGATCGTTTATCCCACCTATCTTATCTAGATGGACAGGCAGAGACAACAGTAAGCATGAAGACAGGCAGAACATCAATAAACTTTTATTGCACACCGATTCGGTGTCCGGCCCTGCTACAATGGCTAGCCATGCAGCAGCGAGTAAACAGACCAACTTCTCGCTCATACAGAGCCAGCACTGCAGTGAGAGAGGCAAACAATTAGCAGATTTTAAAAGAAATATAGAGTACAATGCAAATTTTGTAATTGTGATCAGACAAAAACAAAGAGGGGTTAGGATAAAGGAAGTTGATTGAGATCACGCGGAGGGAGGTAGACTTTTGAACTGAGATCTGAATGGAGGGAGAAATGGAGGCAAACTTGAGAGAAGAGCAATTTGAGACAACAAACAAAAGGGTCAGTGCAAAGACCCTAGGGTGGACATTTGCTTGGTGTGGTCATCACAGAGCAAGAGGGCTGGAGAGGAGGCAGCACAGTGTGTGCATCCCAGGAGTCAAGCAGTGAGGCAGGAAGTCTGAGAGGGGCTGGGCCACTAGACTGCACCGATGGGGTCGGGTCTTGAATGTTAAGTGTGGACTCCATTGGATGACTTTGAGCAGAGAATGCTAACGTCTGATTAGAACTGTAAGGAACCCTACTGCCTGCTGACAGAGACCAGTCCGTTAGGAAAGCGAGCAAGCAGAGGGGCCAGCTGGCTGGGGTAGTCAGTCAGCTGAGGGCATGGACCAGCCCAGTCCTGCTGACAAGGGTAAGAGCCAGTGACTGGCATATACATCCATGTCCAGGCCACTGCTTAGTCACTGTAAAAGAACTGTCACTTCTCACCCCCTTCCACCCTTTGAGAATTTCCCCCAATGCCCTTATGCTTCTGCAGACCGTCCGCAAGTGGAGATCAAGGTCAGTCCCAAAGAGGCTACTGTAATGAAGGGGGAATCTGTGACCATGACGTGCCATATCACCAGCAGCAACCCAGAGGACACTACTATATCCTGGTTCAAGGACAAGGCCAAGCTAAGGAAGTATAACACGGCGACACTAAATCTGCCCAGAGTGACCAAAGAAGATAGTGGAACGTACCATTGTCAAGCCTCCAATAGTGTGGGCTATGGAAATTCGGAAGATGTGGTTCTCCAAGTGCAGTGTGAGCCTCCTTGGAGCTGGGGGTGGGGCAGGAGTCAGGCGGAGGGAGGAAGGCGAGCTGTGGAGGCTTGTACTGGCCAAAGGGTTCGTCTCACCTCCCCATGCCACCTCCACCACTTCTTTCAGTTGTTCCAGAACCTTCCAGTGTTCAGATCCTCCCCTTGCCAGCTCGCGAGGGAAGCATGGTGGAGCTGACCTGTGTGTCACCAGCCCACCCTCCTCCGACCAATTACACCTGGTATCACAATGGGAAAGAAGTCCCGGGAAGGACCGATCAGAAATTCCAGATTCCAAAGCTCCTCCTCTTGCATGCCGGGAATTATTGCTGCCTGGCAGAAAACAGCCTTGGGCTTGGACAGATTGGCCAGGAAGCGGAACTGGATGTGCAATGTGAGTAGTCACAGTGCCTCTGGGGTCTAGGGAGAGAGGATGGAAGTGGGGAGAGGATGAAGGAGGTACCCGGGCCCCACAATGGACAGCAAGGGAGAAGCCAGGGAGGGTCTCCTAACAGGGAGATATCGTGCGGCAGGTGCTTTGTCTGTTTTTCACAGCCGTATTACCAGCACCTAGGATGGGGTCTGGCTTGTGATAAGTGTGCGGTAGATATTTGCCGAGTGAATAAACAACGAGATGCCTCGATTCCCATGAATCCCATAGAGGGTCAGCAACACTCAGCAGTGACCGAGTCCCGGAAGGAATCCTGACGTTTTGGGGGAGACCTAGAGAGACGGTCTCATTACTGTCACTGGACCTTCTTGAACCCCTTGCTCAGAGTTTGAGCCTCAGACTCTGAGATGTTATAGTCTGAGCACTAAAGGGGGTACCCAAGTTCTGGGCCTACCGACCACGAGATAGATGAGCGGGCTTAAAAAAAAAAGTTTGTGGCGCGGGTGGGGTGAGGGGGGCTGGTAAATCTATGAGCTTTTCATTCCATTTACCCGCAAACTTTCTGAAGTTTCGGTGGATAATCCCAACTGCAGCCGATAACTTTTTTGTGTCGGGCATTTTACCCTCACGTGCATCCCTTGAGTCAGTGCCCTTCGGAGCAGACAGCTCTGCGCAGTGGGACGTAGCATGTGGGCTCCCGAGCTGCGCTTTCAATGGCTACCCCATTGAGTCAAATCACTGAAAAGCCAAATAGCTAGGGTAGGGCCTCTCTCTTCGCACAGAGGCAGGAGAGAAGCGCTCGCCTTTCTTGGCTTCATCTCAGAGCTCTGAGTGGAGGGGGTGGGTTGGGGGCAGTGTGGAAGCAGGCAGGCAGCACAGGGTGGCGGTTTGACTTTCCCCCACCTACCCCTCTGCTTTCCTTTCCCCCCAGATAGCCCCAAGGGGGTGACGGTGGTGGTTCAGAATCCCGCTCCAATTCGAGAGGGTGACGACGTGACCCTCGTCTGTAACTACAAGTCCAGCAACCCTCGAGTCACCCGATATGAATGGACCCCCCAAGTCCCCCGAAACCAGTCATTCCCGGAGGTGCTGAGGATTCGAAAAGTCACCTGGGATATCGGCCCAATCGCCTGCCAAGCCTGTAATGTCTGGTGCCAACAGGCTCCCTTTGTGCACCTGGAGGTTGAGTGTGAGTAACCCGGGCAGGGGGATCTGGGAAGAGGCAGGACGTGGAAGAGGGGGGCATTCGGTGTTGGAATATGGGGCTCTCCGGGCCAGCAGAGACTTGAGGGAAGCGAGCCCAGCTTCGGGGTGGAGGGGAGAGGCGGCTCTGGGGCCAGGAAGCTGGGAGAGCAACGAGAAATCCGCCCGAGGCCTTTGCTCTTTAGATGTTCCCAGAGACGTCAGGGTCCTGAAGATCAGCCCCCAGACGGAGATTCACTCGGGGCAGCGTGTCCTCCTTCAATGTGACTTCTCAAGCAGCCGCCCTCCAGAGGTCCGCTTCTTCTGGAAGAAAAACGGAAGCCTTCTGGCGGAAGGCAGGCAGCTGAGCTTCGTCGCCGTCGCCCCAGAGGATGCTGGGAATTATAGCTGCATGGCCAGCAACTCCGTGGGACAGACCACATCGAAGGCCTGGAGGCTGCACGTGCTGTGTGAGGGACCGGTGCGAGACGCGACAAGCAGGGCCGAGGGGGCGGCTGGCGACCGGGGTCCTGACGCGGGTTCGCTGCCTCCTGCAGATGCTCCCAGGAGGCTTCGGGTGTCCATGGTCCCCGGAGACAGGGTGATGGAGGGGAAGAAGGCAGCCCTGGTGTGTGAGAGCGACGCCAACCCGCCCGTGTCCCAGTTCACCTGGTTTGACGGGAACAACGAAAACCTCCATCAAACCGGTCAGACGCTGAGGCTGGACCCGGCCCAGGTCCAGCACACGGGCGCCTACCGGTGCCAGGGAGCCAACCAGCTGGGCGTGGGCGTGTCGCCCCCCAGGACCCTCACTGTCTACTGTAAGCCTCGTCCCACCCTCTCTCATGTTCTCCTCTGGCCCCTGCTTCTGTGGCTCCCCTCCCTGCCCCTCAGGGCTATGCCTCCCAGACCACCTTGCACCTTCTTTTATCCCCCCCTTGCCTCCCACCACCCCACTTCCTCTAGGCTGTCCCTCTCACCTCTCTTCCCTCCTTCTCGCAGCTCATCCTGCTTGGCAGGGACTCCTTTGATTCGCTGCACACTGCTCTCTTTGTCCGATATTTGTGGCTTTGGAAAAGACGATGCAGGTGCCTGGTACAGCAACCCCCCAAATTACAATCACAGAGAAGGCAAATAATGGTGAGACAGGCACTCCGGGTCCCTGAGCACCTAGTGACCTCTCAAGAGGGTGCCACGGCTGGTAGCTTGTTGTGTCTCCTTAATGCTGGGTCTACACACCCATAACGTCACCAGCTGAACACGCCATTGGTAACCAACAAGGGGTGCGAAGAAATCATCCACTCTGCACCCCGGGGCTCCAGACTCTCTAGGACCCTGGAAACCGGTCTCTTTTTGCAACTGGCTGATCTCTATTCTAGGAGCCCTGGTGGTGGAGTGGGTGACTTGTTGGGTTGTTAATTGCAAGGTCAGCTGTTCAAAACCACCAGCCGATCCTCAGGGGAAAGAGGAGGCTATGTACTCACACGAAGAGGGGCAGTTATCCCCCACGCCCTAACAAAGAACAACCAGGCAGCCACCAAACACCGCCATCGCGTCGAGGCTGACACAGAGCGACTGGCTAGGACAGGATAGAACTGCCCCTGTGGGTTTCTGAGACTGTAACTCTTTGTCTTTATCCAGAGGAGCTGCTGGTGGTTTTGAACTGCTGACCTTGTGGTTAGCAGCAGTCTAGCTCATCATCACTACACAGCCAGGGCTAAAGAGGTTGCACCCAGGTGTCCCAAAGCAGGAACACATCAGGGGGACGAGCTAGCCTTTGCCTCCTAACACGTTCCAGATGGCAAGGCAGGGGCTGCCCCCTCTCTTGCCCACGCCACTGCCCCAAGGCATGAACATAGCAGTGCTGGCGGGAAAGACGGCAGCGGGAGGCTGCGAGAAACCTGGGATGCTTCCCAGACCAACACCTCTGGGCGGAGTTGGCTCTTGTGTTGATGGGCGGCCCCTCCTTCTTCCATCAGATAGCCCAGAAACCATAGGCAAGAGAACGGCCGTGGGCATCGGGGCCTGCCTGTCCATCTTCATCCTGGCAATCTGCGGGGTCAAGCTGCGCAAAGGGTGAGCTCGTCCCTCTCTAGCCCCTGGCTGGTCCCGGTGTCCCATTACTCCCCCAGCATGCAACCCCCACAGGATCTGGGTCCCACCTCCTTGATCCTCAGGGAGTGGCTCTTTGCCGCTGCAGCTGGAAGAGGATCCAAGCTCGGCAGGGCCTCCAGGAAAATTCCAGTGGGCAGAGCTTCTTCGTGAGGAAGAAAAAGGTAGGTGAGGAGGCAGAGGCAATGCAGGGCAGACCCTGAAGTCAAGCAAGGAAAGGAGAGGAAGCAGACTACCTCCGGAAGATCTGGGCCAGTAGAGGCGGGGGAGAGGGCCGTGGGCGGAAGGGGGGTGGGGGTGGTGTGAGGGGTGATGGGGAGCCGTCAATGCTGAACAAACCCTGGTCTCCCTGCCAGGTTAGAAGGGCCCACCTCTCGGACACGCCCGCCTCCCTGGGATGCTATAACCCAGTGATGGAAGACCCCGTTAGCTATGCTGCGCTGCGCTTTCCTGCTGGCGAGACGGACACTGGGTACGGAGGGGACGGGGAGAGAGACTGATGCCTCCTGGGGGGCATGTGGGGGAGCAAGTTCTTGTTCCACCTGCCTCTGGGTGCCAGGCACTGCCCTGTCTCCATGACTTCATTCAGTGCCCTCCACTGCCCTCTGGGCCAAGAATGGCTTCCTGAGTTGTAGCTGTATCTCCAAACCCGTGTGCCCAGAGGCAAGTCTTCGTCCTCACAGTCACAGTTCCATGATTGATAGATAGATAGATAGATAGATTGATAGGTAGGTAGATAGATAGATTGATAGGTAGGTAGATAGATAGATTGATAGGTAGATAGATAGATAGATAGATAGATGGATGGATGGATGGATGGATGGATGGATGGATGGATGGATGGATAGATGGATAGATGGATAGATAGATAGATTGATAGGTAGGTAGATAGATGGATAGATGGATAGATAGATAGATAGATAGATTGATAGGTAGGTAGATAGGTAGATAGATAGATTGATAGATAGATAGATTGATAGATTGATTGATAGATAGATGATAGATAGATAGATGATAGATAGATAAATGATAGATAGATAGATAGATA